TTGGAGGTTGGAGGTTGGAGATGCCGCCCCCCTCCGCGTCCAATGCCCGAGCCCAGAATCCTTGGTAGCCTGCGGCTGCCGGTCGAAAACGGAAATCGGGGAGCTTGCCACATAGCCGGTGCTCCTGCACACGCAGTACCATAGCCCCGTTAGCTAGAGAAGACTCACTCGGCTCAAAAAGTTCGGCCAAATGTCCGTGTGATGAAATATTTGCTGCAACCACTCTGGCTTTGGGAATCCCCGGGAAGTACCCCAACCCTTCTGCACGTGAGGCGACACTTGATGCGATAGCTTCATACAAAAGAGCACCTTGCGATATTTGCAACGCCCGGGAAGACAACACGTACAATGTCGGGCGCCGCACGTCGTACACCTCGCAACATAGTACGCGGGACAGACATGGAAAAGGAGGAAGAGGAGGAGGAGGTGAGCAGGAGGAGGAAGAGGGGAAGGAGGGAGAAACGCTGGTGTGAGTAACAGCGCCATGCGATACATACATCTTCTCGGTTCGCAAGCGCTGCCGTTGCAGGCGACGGGCGCCTGGGGGGGGGGGGCGCTGAGGAAAGCGCCGTGCTCCACGTGAAGTTCCAGCGCCCTGCGCTGTGCAGCAACAGCGCCACGCGCTGACTGAGGTCAGCCACCCGAAAAATAGCGAGGTGCCGTCTGGGTGCGCGTGGCCCACAATTCCACTGGAACTCTCAGGAGCCAGCGAAAAAGGTGGCCAGTGCGCAGTTCGCAGCCACCCGACTCGGCTGGACCTCCCGGGAGCCCACGAAGGTGGTGACAGTTGCGCAGTTCGCAAAAACACCCGGAGAGCTGCGAAGTCGCCAATGGATCCGCACGGCCTCCGACTCGGCTGGACCTCCCGGGAGCCCACGAAGGTGGTGACAGTTGCGCAGTTCGCAGCCACCCGGAGAGCTGCGAGGTCGCCAATGGATCCGCACGGCCCCCGACTCCGCTTTGCCTCCCGGGAGCCCACGAAAGCGACGACAGTTGCGCAGTTCGCAGCCGCGCCGGGCGCAGCGAGGCCCCGTCTGGGAGCGCGTGGCCCCCGACTCTGATGGGCCTGTTTTCCACCACCACCACCACCATAAGTTGGAGGGGATCCTCCTCCTCCACCTCCTCCTCCTCCTCCTCCTACTTTTCGTCCTCCTCCTCCTCCTCCTCCTCCTCCACCTCCTTCCCCGCTCCAACCTCTGGTGGTGGTGGTGGTGGAAAACAAGCCTATCAGACTCCGCTGGATCTCCCGGGAGTCTACGAAGATGGTGACACCTGCACAGTTCGCAGCCACCCAAAGCGCAGCGAGGCCCCGTCTGGGCGCGCATGGCCCCAGGCTCCGCTGGACCTTCTCCTTGGCTGCCTTGCCGTCTTCGCTCCCGCTCTCCCGTTCCTGCCGCCTTCCGTTCCTGCGGCTCCGCGCGCAAAGCGCAAAGCTAGAATCCCCACGAACGCGGTGACAATGGCGCAATTCGCGGCCACCCCGGGAGCCGCGAGGTCTCGGCTGGGTGAACGTGACCCCCGACTCCGCTGGACAACCCAGGAGCCCACGAAAGTGGTGACCGTTGCGCGGTTCGCAGCCACTTAATGAGCATCGAGGTCCCCAATGGATCCGCAACGGCCCACGACTCCGCTGGACTGCTCAGGAGCCCACGGAAGCGGCGACAACTGCGCAGTTCGCAGCCACCCAGGGAGCAGCGAGGTATCAAGTGGACCCGCGTGGCCCCTGACTCCGCTGGACCCCCCCAGGAGCCCACGAAGGTGGTAACAACTGCGCGGTTCGCAGCCACACAAAGAGCAACGAGGTCCCCAATGGATCCGCAACGGCCCACGACTCCGCTGGACTGCTCAGGAGCCCACGGAAGCGGCGACAACTGCGCAGTTCGCAGCCACCCAGGGAGCCGTGAGGTCCCCAACAGATCCGCGTGGCCCCCGACCTGGCTGGACCTCCCGGGAGCCCACGAAAGTGGCGACGGCTGCGCGATTTGCAGCCTCCCAGCGAGCAGCGCAAGAGGAGGCAGGAGAAGGCAGGAGGGAAGAGCAGGAGGAGGAGGAGGAGGAGGAGGAGGAGGAGACGGGGTCGCGACCGCAGTGCTCTACTCAAAGCGAGAACCCAACACAGGATGGTCGGGAACACATTCTGATGGCACGTATCAACTTCACTCAGTATGGTCACGATGGCTGCACGAAGTCTGCGCTTGCCCTCGGCGCGCCCTCTGGGCAAATCGTTCATGCGATTATCCAGCACATTTGCCAAATTATCGAAGTTCCTCATCTGTCTCTGGTACGTTGATGTTGCCTGACTTGAGAAACGCTTGTAGCACATCTGGGTCTGCCGTGGGCAGAAGTATCTATCCGCTACCATGTGATCTTGCACCTCTGCAGCCTGGTGATGCTCCAGGACGGCCTGTCGCTGGAGCTGTTCTTGGAGCACTTGCCGCTGGAGCTGCGCCTGGTCGGTCACCGCCTGCCGCTCAGCGAGCCTCCCCAGCCTGCTGCCTGATCTGCTCACCGAGTGTTTTCCCAGCGCTACGCACCTATTCCAGCATCTTGTACATGTTCTTTGCCGTTCCCTCCGCCGCGCCGCAGCCCTACAAGACCTCGCCCAGGAGCTCGACGGAAAAGGTCCGCCGCTGCCCCCAGCACCTGCTGGAGCGTCAGGAGCCGGCCACGCTTTCCCTCGGGCGGCTGCAGTGCCTCCGGGGTGCGTCTGGCCTCCTCCATCTGCAGTATCTCGTTTCGTGCCCGCCAGCGCCTGCTTCACCTCGACGACGGCCTGCTGGACGACGGACGCCTTCGCTTCGAGGGACTGCCATATGGCCTACTGACGCCACGGTTTCTTGTCTAACGTCGGGTGCTGAACGGATATATTATTCTTGAGTCTCGTGTCCACTGGCGTGGCTGCCGCCAGCCTGTCGAAGTGAACCCTGCCGCTCCTTGAGGCTGCGACATGCCTCCTTGACCTCCGCCGCGTTGATGTCCTTACTTGTTTCGGTGCTGGCCGTGATTCCTGTCAGCTGCTTCTTGACGTCGCCGCCTGACCTGAGTTTGCTGTCGCCCACTTCCGTGGCGTCATTTGCCTTGGGGGGGCTAGTGCAATTTGAGTCTTAAGCTGCGCAAGTTCTTCCATGACGTTCTTGAACCCCTGTTCTGCAATCCCACTACTGATCGATCTGGAAGCTCGCTGGGATGGCAGCTCTGGGTTTCTCGTCTCCGGGAACGCTGTGCTCTTGTGCCGCTAAGATCTGCTGCACCGCACATGTTCCGCCCTGTTCCACTAACACTCTCCTGAGTTCGGCCAGCAATGCTTACGATACCAGAGTGATGCCCACGCCCGCCGCTTTGTCTGATAACCCAAGAGCAGCGGTCCGCCTCCCGCTCCTCCATCACGCGCCATCTGGCGCGCCACCTCGGCGGCGCCAGCTTGGAGTAAGTGAGAGTTCGCAGTAGGCGCGGGCTGATACCGCAGCGCAGTAGATGTGGAAGGTGTCCTGCCTTGGCAGGCGCCCGTGGGAGTACGAAAGCTGTCGGGGGCCGCCCCTCCCCTGCGACGAAGGAGGCAGGTCCTGAGCGAAGCGCTACGGACGTAAGCCAAGCTGGCAATGGACGGAAGAGAAAGGAGGGCGAGGGGGAGGGGGACAAGGAGGACGACGCCGAGGTCGAGGAGGGCGAGGGAAACGAGGGCGAGGGGGAGGAGGGGGAGGATGGCGATGGGGGAAGGCGAGGAGGAAGGAGCGGAGGGCTCGAGCTCGAGCTCGAGCTCGAGGTGGACCGAAGACCACCAGCTCAAGCTCGAGGTGAAGGCGAGGGGCGGGGAAGGACGACGAGGATGACCAAGACGAAGAGGTCGATGTTTATAGTGCTGAGTTGGCCCGACGAGGACGACGAGGACGGTGAGGTCGATAAGCACGAAAATGACGAGGCAAGTAATGAGTGAACGGCGAGGACAAGGACGATGCTGACGAGGTCGAGAAGGGGGAGGACTATAGTGGCGAAGGGGATGATCGAGGAGGGCGGTGTCGAGGACGATGAAGGCGGAGATGACGATCAGCGGGAGGACGAAGAGCACGAGAGGAACGAGGAGGATCTAGGAAGTGGACGGGGAGGACGATCGAGAGGACGGGGGAGAGAACGAGAGGGAGAAGAGGGACGAGGAGGATGAGAGGGCGGTGGCCGATGATAAAGAATAGGACGAGGCCGAAGAAGTGGGAACTATTAGGAAAAGGACGCGGAGGACCAGAAGGGGGGGACTAGAAGGGCGAAGAAAATGAATGTGGCGGGGAGGAGTCAAGTAGGATGAGCAATTCCCCTCAACCTCCTCATGCTGCTCCTGCATCACTTGGCTCCCAGAGACAAGCCCCCATCCTCCTCCTCCTCCTCCTCCTCCTCCTCCTCCTCATCCCCCTCCTCCTCCTCGTCGTCCTCCTCCTCCTCCTACTCCTCCTCCTCCTCATGTAACTGAAGACGTTGACCAGACTCTGAGTGACCGAGCTCGTCGCGGTTTTCTCCTCCTCCTCCTCCTCCTCCTCCTCCTCCTCCTATCCTCCTCCTATTCCTCCTCCTATCCTCCTCCTCCTATTCCTCCTCCTCTTTCTCCTCTTTCTCCTCCTCCTCCTCCTCCTCCTCATCCTCCTCCTCCTCCTACGAGGCCCTGGTGCCGGTGGAGCTGGACTCCTATCGATTCAGAATCGATTCCTGTTTGTCCCTGGGCACAGCGAGGGCCCCCAGAAGCCGAAGGCAACGAGGAATCTCCGCCTTGACTTTTTCGAGAGGTTGGAGGTCTGGGTTTCGGACTGCGACTCGAGCCTCCAGCAGGCAGTTCAGGCCGATCCGGGCACCCCCAGAACGCTCTCGGCGAGGCACAGCTGCTGGAGAGCACCCCGAGGCGAGGAAACTGCGAAGAACCCGCGAGCACGCCCGGAAACCACAAGACACGCCCTGACGCTGGAGGCCCAGGCCGCCCGATGGGCCCGAGCGGCACCACCGGCGCCGCCAGAGCACGCGGGCGCCTGCTGCGACGTGACGCTGGGCAGCACGGGTGCTGACCACAGGCCGGCCTCTCGGGGAAGCGGGCGCGGTTGGGCGTCGAGGGCGGCGGCAGCTGCCAGCTGCGCGCCCTTCGGGAGGAGCGGCTGCTCGCAATGAGTGGCCCTAGAAGCAAGAAGGGCCTTCGGTCCGCGACTTTCAGGGGCCACGGGGAGGCCAGGCCCGACTGCGCAAGACGCTGCTATCGCACCGCGTTCGGTCATCTGGGGAATCCAGCGTGCCCGCACGAAAAGTCATTGCGGCGACAGGTGACTCTTACGTGTGGCCGAGAGGAAGGGGGGAGGGGCGCCGCGAGGAGCCACGCTTGGGCGGTCGACATGTGATCTGTGCCCCTGCTCACGCCCCGACCCCACGAGGGGCCAGGGAGGGAATCTGATTTCTTCTCAACCCTCGGTTGGGTTCTCGTTTTGACTATAGCACTGTGGTCTGCATCCGTTCCTGCTTCCTCCCCCTCCCCCTCCTCCCCCTCCTCCTGCCTCAACCCTACTCCTCACCTCTCCCCCTGCCTACTGCCTCATTGCCTTCCTTTCTCGTACCTTTCTGACTGGGAGGCCGTGAACTGCGCAACTGTCACCACTGTCGTGGGCTCGTGGGAGGTCCAGCCGAATGGAGGTGAACGCGGACTCAGCCGAGACCTCGCGGCTCCATCGGGTGGCTGCGAACTGCGCAATGGTTGCCACCTTCGTGAGCTCATGGGTGGTCCAGCCGAGTGGAATTGTACACGCACCCAGACGAGACCTCCCTGCTTCCCAGGTGGCTGCGAATTGTGAAATTGTCGCCGCTTTCGTGGGCTCCTGGGAGGTCCAGCCGAGTGGAGTTGTACATGCACCCAGACTAGACCTCGCTGCTTCCCGGGTGGCTGCGATCTGCACAATTGTCGCCACTTTCGTGGGCCCGTGTGAGGTCCAGCCGAGTGGAGGTGTAAGTACGCGGACCCAGCCGAGACCTCGCGGAACCCTAGGTGGCTGCGAACTGCGCAACTGTCGCCACTTTCGTGGGCCCCGGGGAGGTCCAGCAGAGCAGATTGTCCTCGCAACGTTCTTGTGTATGGAGCGTTCATTTGAATAACTAGCTGCCTCGCGTTGAACGGGGTGTGGGCACCTCTGCGGCAATTGCTATCCACACCCTGCTGCCCCTGGCGCCTGGGGTGGGGGGCAGCAGCAGGGGGTATGGGTCGAACGTCGATCGCCGAGTGCAGCGTGGAAGGATGCAACTCGGAGGCAGGAGCGAGCGAGCGAGCCACCAACGCGGAGACTCCGGCGGGAGGAGGCAGGGGGGGAGGAGGCGGGGAGGAGAAAGACGACAGGGCCCGAAAAGGAATGCAACAGTGCCAGGACTGGCATGGCGACACTGGGCCCAACGCCCAGGCCAGGAAGAACCTCACCAACCGGCGCCCATCCCCCCCCCACCCCCCTCGAGGTTCGACGCTCGTTTTATTTCGGGGAGGGGGGGCGGGGGGACGCTCTTGGCCTGGACCTTCTCGCCGGCTCCACGTAACGGCGACCTTGGCCAAGGGGGACCATTGGTGCACTACTGCTTGGAAGCGCGCCCCCCGCCCCCCCGAAACCTTGCCACTCCGGGCGTTGCCGGGAGCGCTGAAGGAGCGCGCTCAGGCGCCCCGTCCTGGGCCAGCACAAGTGGTCAGCTCACCAGCAGGGGCATCTGAGCACCGTTGAACCGACCCCTTTCCCCACAGGTGTGGCCTGGGCCCCACTGGCCGATGTCCCCCCCCCCGTTTCCAATATGTTATTACACCCGACGCTGTTGTTCGGATGATCGGCCACAGCTAACCACGCATCAAGCGCAATCCCTGGACGTCCTTCAAGGCAAGATGCTTCGTTTGATTGCTGTTTGGATGCGCTGCGGGGGCGAGGAAAGGGCATGCACCATAAGACGAACGCGGGGCAGGATTGCCCATGCAATGCAGACTTCTCCGATTGAAGAGAGAAGTGAACTAGTTTGACGCCACTCGTTTCGATCTGCGTGCTGGTCATCATTATCAGACGACGAACGGGCCCAGAAAGTCACGGTGTGGAGCCCGCGCTACACGCATGGAGCGACGAGGGCGCGCGGACGCACCCCGACGAGATGGGACGACGGCCTGCAATGATCGGCCCATGATGTTTGGCATACTCTAGCTCGCTGGTGTGGCATTCATTGTGCACGAACGTGACGACGACACATTCTTCGAGTACCCCGACGGCCAGAAGTGGGTAAGAACATGAAGCAGGAAGGCGCTGGAAGTAGACTGGGTTTCCGGCCGCCCTGGGAAGAGGAGGGAGGAGGGAACACCGTTCGACTCTGGAAATAGGAAGGGGCGGCTAAGGTGGATTGTGGTCTGGGGATCCAGACATACTTGAGTCCAACGGCCAGCGTGTGTTGCATTCACGCGTGAGGGCCGCCCCCGCTCTCCGCCTCTCTACTCCTCTCCCCATCGGAGGCACAACGCTTGCTCTCCGCTGCGCACGTGATCGTTCAGGCCACTGCGCTGTATCCTCGCCCTGCACGGGCCAACCCATGCGGTTCGACCGAGCCTCTGCCTGCCTTCCCCAACTGAATGGTAAAATGATGGGGGTCTTAAACCAGGTTTCAAAGGGTGTATCCCCAACTGGGGTGGTAATATGATGGGGGTCTGGATGGGGATGGTGACTACCTACCAGACAACCCCAACCCAACTCGAAGACCCAAATCTCGGATAAGGGGGGTGTACGGGCTCCATATGTGTTTTTCAACGCTCCCCGACGCTCCCCCTCCCCACTGGAAATGGAGGGCTCATTGGGGCCTGGGTTGGGTCGGGGTGGTTTAGCGGTTGGCGAGATGGGACTGGGACAAAGGTCGGCGAAAAGATACCGAGCATCCCCTCCGAATCGCCGGCCTCGGGGCTCCAAGAGTTCCCTGGGAACCTGCGCCCAAGGCCACGCTAACGAAGATGTTGCTCAACGGTGATGTTGGGAACCAAATGGTAGGAAATCGCGAACCACACTTTCCGACATTTCCTATATTCAAAAATATCGAACGATAGCGACACAGCGAAATGTAAGAACGCACGAGCCACGCATTCCCACAATACCGAAACCTACATCTCCGTTGCGTACATCACCGTTCGCACGTCTGCGGAACGCAAAGGCCTCCGCCCGGCGACCTCGCGGTGCCCTCCAGGAGCCGACACCTCCTCGCAGAGGCCCCGGGGGCGCAGCGGGCGGCGAGTGCCCTCAGATCTTGCGCCGCGACGAGTCTGGACTGCACCATACCATGCCATACAGTGGGGCTGCTGCCAAAAGGAACGCTAACTAAGGAACGAACCCCCCTTTTGGACACAGCAGCGCCTGGGTACACGAGGAATACTAAAAGAACAACCGCAGAATGGCCCAAGGAACATCGAGCCCCTTCCGAACCCAAAGCGGTCCTCATTTCAGCGCCCTGACTGCACGGGAACTTACTACCAAAAACCACGGGTGACAGCCCCGGTGACGACCATAGACCTCGGCGACCACGCCCAAATACCACGACCGGAGACCGGGCCACGACACGCGACCACGGATGTTGGACCGCGGAGACCCCCCGCCTGCATTGGGAACCTCATGCAGGTCAACCGCAAGCCGTTCAGGGAGAGAGTACGACGGCTTCCCGCTCCTCACCTTCGGCTTCCGCGCATGCCTGTTTCGGGGGCCGGGGACGTCTGATGACCAGAAGTAAACAAATCAGTCCTGCACAAATGTGTCGAGAGGGCTGGGCGGTCGGAGATTCCCAACAAATCGAGCGGCAGGAGCCCCCGAACGCCTCCGAACTTCTACCCGAGCAGCCCCGAGCAAGGACGACGACAACGCTGACGGCGGCGAAGGCCGCGGCGACGGGGACGACCACGAGACCCGACAGTGCGAAAAGATTGGAAGCCCTGTGCACCATCTCTCTGCTACAACCCTCGCGAAGGACCCATCTGCGAAGGCCCCGGCGACCGAATCAGCGCGAAAACGCCAGGTGTGAAACAAGTAGCCCCCCAGACCCCCGACGCCACGATTTCTGCATGACGTCGACCCCCAGAGGTCTCGACCCATTTCCCGAGACCGCTTTTCCATCCTGGGGCCTTTTTGACGGTCCCGAGGCCCTCGAAGGGACCCCAGAGGCTGCAAATGGAGACAAACCTTCCGTCGCGAACTTCTCCTGACAGCAAGCGGTCTGGGACACTCGCGGCCCACGCGACGACGACGGCGACCACGGCGACGGCCACGGCGACGGCGCCCCCGCCGCGGCTGGCCTGGAAGGGCCCCACCCCGAAGCGCGCAGGGCCCCGCCGCGGGCCGCCCTCCGGCGGGGGCGCGAGCGCCTCCGCGCGCGCTCGCGCGGTCGGGCGCGGGCGCCCTCGCAGCGCGCGGGGCTCGCCCGGTGGCCCCGGACGGCCGGCTGGCCGTCCAGCCAGCGGCGTCTGGGAGGCTGCTGCTCTCCAGAATCCCGCGAAGCTGCCCGCACGGCCTCTCCCGTCATCCCCCCCCCCCGTTCCGCCGCCGTGTCACGCAGCGCTGGGCCGAAGAGCGGCGTGCCAGCGAGCCCCGACTTGCGGGAAGGCCAGGCTTCCTTTCGGGCCTCTTGCCAGCCCTCCTGTCCCTCCTTGCAAGCACGCTTGCCAACATCTAGGAAGAACAAAAGCCTTGATTGAATATGGACCGACCGTCCCGGCATTCCTGTAGGCCTGCCACGACATGTTCTTAGAACCCCCAAATGTTCTAAGAACAAAAACGATGTTCTTAGAACATAGCCCAGATGTGTTAAGTGGAGACCGTATCAGCCAGAAATGTTCTAAAGAACATCTCGTGCAGACCACAAAAGGTTCTTAAAACATCCTTCGGTGGGCCTATAGGCGAGCCAGGACGCTTCGCCACTGCTTGACTTGGGGCCTCTGGGCCTGCGGGGCCTGCGGGGCCGCCAGAGGATGGCGAGAGTCGAGGGCTCATGGCCAGCCTGCGGATGAGCAGAGCCAGGGCATCGTGGGCCCGGGCGCGGGTGCGCACCCGCCGCCTGCGAGGTCTGCCCTCGCGGGTCTTCCTCGGGCGCCGCGCCGACGCCCGCGGGAGAAGCTGCGACCGGCAGGCTGCAAAGGGAGGTGGCGCAAGCTGTCGGCGGGCGTCCTCGGCCTCGCGTTCCCTCCCATGTCCGCGTCCTCGGGCTCACTACTTTCCCTCCCACGTCCGCCCTTTCCTCTTCCTGTCCTCCCCCTGAGATCCTGGCGTTTCGATTTGTTCGAGCCGGACGTTCTCGCCTTCGCGGGCCCTGGTCACAGATCGGCCCGGCTTGCAAAGTGGCGCAGAAAGATGGGGTCCAGGGCTTTGGGCGTGATCTTTTTTACGATGCTGCATTTGTTTGTTTCGAGACGTCGGATCTCAGGGTCTGCTGCGCGCGGATGCTCTCGTCATGCTCGCCCTCTGCCGGCTATCCTTGCGTGCCCAGGTCCCTCCGGACGACGGGCCAGGGGAGAGCCCGCGAGCGGCCGAGCAAAAGCGTCGCAGCGAAAACACCAGAAGTGCGAAAGCAGTAGGACGGTGGGTACTCCAGATTTCGTAATAAAGGGAGGGGGGTCTCATTTCGGGGGGGGGTCTCTTCCAGGCTATCTTGGAGGGCCTGGGGGGGTCTGGGGACGATGTCTTGGAGGGTTCTCCCACGGGGGAGGTCTGAAATGGCTTGTCTTGGAGGGTCCAGACCCCCTCCCATTTATTACGAAATCTGGAATAACCACTACATCATGCTGGCCTAGGATTTGACAGCGGTGCACGAAATTCTCCCCCGATGCGTCTGCCACCCCCCAGCTGCCTCAGGGTCTTCTCGGTGGGCTCGTTCGGGAGCCAAGCAAGGAACATCCCCCCCCCGAGCCCGGGCTGCACTGAACTCTTGCGCCACACCAGGCGCTCCCCCATTACCCAAAGCCCGTGGCTTCAATCCGCAAGCCTTGCTTAGCGAAGCATGGACGTGCACGGGAGAGCGGAAACTGCACATGGCATATCTACAACCCGGCCGCCCCTTGTTGCCTGACGTGGCATAACATTCTCGTTGAGTGGGCACAGACCGATTACAGAGGAGCGAGGGGGACCTTGAACATGGTTGACAAATGTAAAACCCTCTTACTGAGCGCCTCTCTGAAGCTGGCAGGGTGCTTACACGCTGGCTTGAATTCCTTCGACATCTGCTCATGGAGACCGCGGAGGTGAAGTTTTTGTTAGCGGTGAGGATTGTGTGGGTGCGCGTGGGCCCCTGAATGCATGTGCACTGAATTAGCCTTGCGAAGGACCCAACCATATCCAGTTGTGAGTGCCGCAGTTGTGAGGATCGTCGTCGGTGGAACTCCCGATGGCGCCACAAAACGTGTCACTGGGACCTTCGGTGGGGCTTCCTACGGGGCCACGCAACGTGAGAGGGGTGTGCCGAAACGGGCGCGACGCCCACATGCGGACTGCGCCACTGGGACCTGGGGTGAAGCTATCTACGGGGCCACGAAAATTGAGAAGGGGGGCGAAACGGGCGCAACGCCCACATGCGGACTGCAGCAACGGGACCTTCGGTGGAGCTCCCTATGAGGCCACGGAACATGTGAGGGGTGTGCCGAAACGGGCGTGACGCTCACATGCGAACTGCAGCACTGGGACCTTCGGTGGAGCTCCCTACTGGGCCACGAAACGTGTGAGGGGTGTGCCGAAACGGGCGTGACGCCCACATGCGAGCTGCGCCACTGGGACATTCGGTGAAGCTGTCTATGGGGCCACGAAGCGCGTGAGGGGTGTGCCGAAACGGGCGCGACGCCCACATGCTAAATGCGCCACTGGGACGTTCGGTGGAGCTCCCTATGGCCTTTGGGGACACGAAACGCGTGAGCGGTGTGCAGAAGCTGGCGTGACGCCCATGTGCGAACAGCGCCAGTCGGACCTTCGGTGGAGCTATCTATGGAACCACGAAACGTATGAGGGGAATGCCGAAACGGGCTTGACGCCCACATCCGAACTGCAACAGTGGGACGTTCGGTGGAGCTCCCTGCAAGGCCACGCAACGTGAGAGGGGTGTCCCGAAACGGGCGTGACGCCCTCATGCGAGCTGCGCAACTGGGACCTTCGGTGGAGCTCCCTATGAGGCCACGAAACGTGTGAGGGGTGTGCCGAAACGGGCGTGACGCCCACATGCGAAATGCAGCACTGGGACCTTCGGTGGAGCTCCCTACGCCACGAAGCGTGTGAGGGGTGTGCCGAAACGGGCGTGACGCCCACATGCGAACTGCAGCACTGGGACCTTCGGTGGAGCTCCCTACTGGGCCACGAAAAGTGAGAGGGGTGTGCCGAAACGGGCGTGGCGCCCACATGCGAACTGCAGCACTGGGACCTTCGGTGGAGCTCCCTATGGGGCCACGAAGCGCGTGAGGGGTGTGCCGAAACGGGCGCGACGCCCACATGCTAACTGCACAACTGCACTGCGGAGACCTT